TGAGAGTCTCACCCCAGCCTTTCTCTTAGCACTGTCCTGAGTGTTATGAGAAAGAAGTCATCTTCCCATTGTCTTGGGTTCAGATACATCATGGCATGGTGACCTGACTTTCTTCTGGGAGGGGTTTGGTAGCTGCTGCCATTTTGAGACTAGTTGTTCTTTATTTCTCTTCTAATGAAATCAGCTAACCCTGATTTTAGTTACAGTCAAAAGGCTGGCAAATGCCCATTGTCAGCCTCAAAGAAAAAAAAAAAAAAGTAAGAAAGTTTGATTTAATTCCCTTACCTCCATTTTCTCTTGGAAAAAAACAAAAACAAAACAAAACAAAAAAACCCACACACATGGTGTGAGGTGCTAAATGGTACTAAAGAAGGAGAGCTTTTGTGTAAACTAAAAGTACCTTAAAAATAAGGTGGTGGAAAGTATTTTATCTGACTCCTGGATTCTGCAGTTTGGAGGGGCTCCACTTTTTCAATTTTTTCCTGCAATCACAGAAGATATAAATTTTTTTTAGTATCTTAAGTAAAATTGAGGTCTTGACCATTAAAAACACTGTCACGAGGCTCAGGTGAAGTAGAACCAGTCACATTCATGACAAGGAACTCTTTTTCAAACCACTGGAAACACCCAAGAGCCCTCTTAGAGGAGAGGAGTCCACAAGCTGTGGTCTGGCTGGGGAACTGGGACACAACTGCTGTGACCTATAGTTAGTGGTTAGTTAGAAGCCTGCTTGGGAAGCTAGCTTAAAGAACTGCTTAACGTAACATGCAACCTAACAAAAAGGGAATTAATTTATGGGAGAACGATTGAAAGAGAGCAATACATCTGCCATCGGGAAATATCCACTTCCCAGTCAGATTCCTAAAACTTGCTATACGGTTATGTAGTTCAGCTTAATGGTGGAGCTGAGGAGCAGAATCTTCTCAAAGTAGCCTCTCTGAAAATGTTTGGCCTTGTACAGCCTCTGCTGACGTGTGGCACACTTGTTGATACTCAGGTAGTCTCCTTGGATGGAGATGTATATACGTACAGAAGTTTTCCTACATGGATGGGGGTGTATGTTCTTGCGCATCCACAAGTTGAAGGCAAACATACATCCTTCCCAAGCAGGATTTAGTGTTCTGAAATAATACAGCATCACAATGTGAGTGGAATTATTTCAGCTGAAAAAGAAACTTAAATCAAGCCTCTATGTTAAAGCAACACAGACGAAACCGTTTTTAGAAGGGTGACCTTACTCAAAGGAAGCAGGACTGACAACGTTTTACAAACCAGAAATCTTTTATTTGGAATTTTTTCTTGGATTGATTTTTGTTTTGGAACTTCTCTAAACACTATTTAACTTCAAAAATATTCTGACCAAGCTCTACCACATGACATGCTATAAACACAGACTCTACAAGAGCTGCTTTCATTCTTTTCTACAAGTCAGGCAATTTTATTTAGCGGGGCAGGCTTACAGATGTTTCGGTGGGTCTAATGCTAGGAAGGAAAGAATCTGATAATGTGAGCCATGGTAAGTTCTCAATAGGCTTTCTGTAGGCACCATTAGTACATAAAGCCCTGTGTTGTCACATGGCATTGAGGTATTGCTGTGCTAACAGAAAGTAAACTGGTATATATACTGCACAAAACAGATAAATCCATGGGTGCAATAAATAAATAAATAAATAAAAGCAGTAACTAATCACAGAGCAGAATTAAAACTGAGATCTATTTTCCGTAAAGCCCCCAAGGAATTTTTACAGTCTCTTCAGTATGTGTGGCGTCAAACAGGGCAGCTCTGTTGTGGTTAGCAAACATTAGTGTGTCCTCATCATAATCCCATCCGTGCCTGTAGTAAAAGGGGCCCTGTGCCAAAAATCTTCCATATAAGGCCACTGTCGACCCTGCAGATGTGGGTTTCTTCCCTTGTGAGCTGCTCACACCATCTTAACTTGTTCATCATGCAGCGGGAACAGAAATCCAACTGTCTTTACTGTCCCAAGGTGCAGTCTCACCTCCAGAAGCTTAAGAGTGAATAGGAAAGCTCAGTGAGCCCCCTTTTCCCTTGGAAGGCTTTTCTCACATGAGGACTCCTGCTGGCTGCCTGGCCACTTTTTTCCTATGTGGCATGCATGTCATGTCATTCCCTCAGCCGCAGAGTAGGGATAAATAGTTACAGAACATCCTCTGCCTTTGCTTGAAACAGAGCTTTTTACAGAAGAAATTTCTAAAAAAGATAGACCCTATGGAAAACCTCACATTTCCTCTCCCTGTAAAATTATTTCCCAGTAAATGCCTATCAATACATTTGCTCTATCCATAGGCTAAAGGTAGGTGATTTAGCAATGTTTGTTTTTGTGGTATTACAGAGTATTCATAATGAATCCACTGTGACTACACATATTTTTAGTGAGGTGTAAAAACTGTGACTGAGTATAGTTTTCTGCAGTCTTTATTTCCACTACCTAGGAAGCTTTTAAGCTAAAGCTATTTTGATTCTTATTCTTCTCTCAAACCATTTGGACTACCTTCATCATACCTCTTTTCACATCACTCCCTTTTTTGGGGAACATATGGTAATCACACAAAAGATGTTCCAGTGGCCAGTTTTTCAGTGTAACAGAAATGCTGAGTCACAGCTTGAAGCAGTGATTGAGCACCTGGTGGCAAAGCAGGGCCAACCGAGGGGAACTCAGGTGCAAGCAATGCACCTGAGTGACTGAAAGGGGTGGAGCCAGGATCCACCCCTTCCCAGATCTCATTTAAGGGTTGGTAGTGGAGGTGTGAGTATCTTACTGAAGGTACCTGTGTATCTGGAGTCTTCTGAAGGTAAGTCAAGTTTTTTTTTTTTTTTTTTTTTTTTTCTTCCCCCCTCTCCTCCTCCTCTTCTCTCTCCATTCCTCCTTGCTTGTTCTTATTTGCTGCAGCCAAAGACATTGCTACCCTGCTATTACTGCTGTATTTTCCACCACATTATAGCTTTACACTCAAGATCCCCTCTAGTCACAGGTCTGTAATTAAAACTAGAATTACTTCTTAGGTCTATTTCCAAGTGCTGAATTCTCAAAAGCTGGTCACACGTTAGATGCTATTGATTACAAAACTCCTTCAAAATTCTGAATAGCTAGCTCTGCTCTGGAAGAAACAACTCTTGCCAACTTTTCTACACCATGTGAATAACAACATTAGTTTCTGTATTTTTGAAGTTCTGAAATACTGGTGTGAAAATTGAGTTTTAGGATACTTCAACAAGCAGTAATTGGGCTATAATTTCTACTGCAGCTAATACAGGGCCAAATTTAACACTGAAAAATCTTTGGTTTATTTTAAGGAGTTATTATGTCATAGCAGTGACAAATTTTCACCTGCTCTGGTTCCATTCTTCTGCGTGAATTAATGCTTGTTGGTCTTTGGCAGTATCTATACAGTCACCAAAGCTTTCTGATGCTGGCACATCTCGAGACTGAAGCAGTTTCACTTAACTGACAGATAACGAACTCTTTAATATTATGAAATGGGATTTATTCAAGGAGAGCCACCTTTTGCTAGTGCTCATGTGTTTTAATGAAAGAAAAGGTTTTTTTTTAATCCACAGCTAGTTAGATAAACCCAACAAAAGATAAACTGCATAATTTCATAACATCCAGATTGTGTGGAGTGTGTTCTCTAAACAGATCTATTTTAAAAAATAGAAGTGAAAAAAGCACTTGATCTGGAATAACTGATATCACTGATTCCTCTTTAACAGCAGTGATTGTTTCCAGGAAAGTTTTGAAGTATTTTGTTTGCTGAAATAGAAAGTTCACAAAGGAAAAAAAAAAAAAAAAAAAAAAAAAAAAAAAAAAAAAAAAAAAAATCTTACCGAACAGCCTATCCCAGGGATGAAAAAACCTGATAGAACACAAAATTAATTAAACTGTCATACTGCCACTTAATAAGGCCTCATACAAGCTAATATAGAACATTTGGTGACTGGAAATACCTTATATGTTTTGCATAGTTGTTTTTTTTCAAGCTCCTGCATCTTATGCAGCAGCTGAGCTATCTATTAAATTCTGTGGGATGGTTTAAAAACCCCAGAAAGAGTATTTTCTTAGAGATTGTTTTATCTATCACATAAAGTGTTATTGATTTATGCAGTGAATGTCTGATTCTATATATTATTTCCTTCTTCCAAAGAATTTTTTTTTGTTTTGAAAAGCTATGTGCTTAGGCCTGTTTTGGATGGCTCTTTAGTATTCAGTACTTTCAACTCCATCTGAATTAAAGGAGAACTAGGTCAAATTTGCTCTAACAACAGCTCCACGTGCCATGTGAGGCACAGAAGTAAAATCCAAAATTTAAATACATTTGATATGATAAAGTTCATGGTTTTGTATGGAATAGCTGCTTTTTTTTTTTTTTTTTTTTGGTCTTTATTTCTGGTGCTACATGTAAAGGCTGCTGGTGTTCATTGGCATTAATCACATTGCTTGTGTCTTGAAGACCCAGGTAACAGAAAAATCAATACAAATAAAACCATACTTCCAACCACACTTAGCTGCTATTGCAGTGTTTCTGAGGAGTACGGGGAAATGACTTAATGTGTTGTTAGCATACTTTAAACAGTTTTATTGGTATTACTGTTTTGCTTTTCTGCAACTGCAAAATCAGTTTACCTCAAGTTGAAAATGTCAGCCAACTGGAAGAAAATAGATCTGTACCTAATGAAAAACCTTAAAATTTTGCTGTTGAGCCCCTGCACAAGTTTAACCTCTTCTACTAAATGTAATACATCTATCCTCTGTACCAGAGTACTATGGGCAGATTTAAAAGCACAAGGCAGACACTGTTCTGGCCACTGTGTTAACAGGGCATCTCCATGTTGTGCCATAGTTGTATTGTTTCAGGAATACTTGAAATTGCTAGTTCTACACCTAGAAATGGTTTGAAAGCATCAGAAGGGAGCTGTAATGTAGCCATAGTCCTTCAGGACTTTGAGCTTCATGAAGAGAAAATTCTTTTGTGTTCTGTAGGAGGTGCATGTTTGCTCAACAGTCCATACTTGTGGATGCTCTTCTAACCCAGGTATATAATTCTGGTTCTGGTAAAAATGAAAATTTTCTGAATGGAAACTTGAAGTAGATGGGGACCAGTGGAGTTTCCTGTCCTTTTTCTCACTCAAACAGATTCCTGTCATCACTTCTTCTCACATATAAATATTAATTCCAGTGACTGTAGTATTACAATGAAAATGGAATTTGGGTTTTTTTTTCATAAGCATGTAAGCAAAAATTTCTTAAAATCTTTGAAAAATAAAAGTAGGATTTAGGTACCCTTTTTGCAGTTTTGAGTATAATCATGTTTCACTGCTTATTTTGGGCTGAAGTTATTCCCATATTTCTTCAGAATTGGGAGTCCCAGATCATGAGTGTGACTAATCTTTTATCTCCATTTAAAATGGTTTATCAGCTACTGGATCTGCCACTTCTTCAGTCACCTTGTCAAGGACCAGTTACTGATCCCGCATCACAACAGTGGAATTTATGAGAGGAGCAAAGAAAATAACAATTCCACATCTTGAGGGAAAGACATTTGTCTGAAAGTCTGGCTTCATTTTTGAGATGGCAGCTGCTTGGAACTGTTGACAGATTGAGAGTGTTGGAAATTGTCTTGGGCCAGATGTATTAGTGATCTAAGTTCAGGTGAAGTGGTTAAAGGTGCTTTATAAATGCCATTTCCAACATAGCTATCATCACTATGTTGTGGTATAGGTAACATAGTTATTTTAAAACATAAAACTGAGTTACTGTAGATAAGTCTCACCTAGTTCTATTCTCTTTCTCCCTGTCTGCTGAAACAATTGCAGTTATCTGAAATGTTCCAACTACCTCTCCTAATTGAATTAGGATGGGCTGAAAGCAAGATATCTGGGCAAGGATAGGAATGACCTTTTAGTCATGCAGTCACTTTCAGTCTTTTTCTCTGTTATTTCCTGTTATTCAAATATGTTGATCAGACTCACACCCATGTTATGAGGATTATTCCAAGGAATAAAAATGAATAGAAAGGGGAGAAATTGAAGAGTTCCATGAAAATTAGATGGATTCCTTTTCTCTCATTGTTACATTTAATTACTGTGCATGCCTTCACAGAGTAAGTTGTTATTTAATATTAAATGGAAATAATGGAAAATGGAAAAATATTTCTCCATAATATTAGTTAATTGGATATAACGTATAAAAATTTACACATACTTTTCTCAGTATAAGACCTTACTACTATCTTGTGTGATTACTGCAAAGGCCTGTTCTTTCTTGCAGTTGCCCACTGTTCCCTGATGGTCTGAGGAACGTCTCAGAAGTACAGGTTAGAGATCCATCTCTCTCCATTGCTTCTGTTTGTGCCCAAATCCCTAAAAATGCCTGGCAGAGACCTCTGTCAAGCACTGCTTTACCCAACACAGGTCATAGAGCTTCTATCATGAATAATTACATATGTACAAGTATAAAACACAGAGCAAATTAGTAGGCTATTATGCACTTTATTTTCTTTAGGCCACTCCAGAGTAAAGTAACAATGCTCGGGGAAGAGATCATACATGAACTGAGCAGAACTCTATTTTAACACAGTTGAAATGAGCAAATTCTTATAAAAATCAATTATACAACTTAAATGCCTTTGGTTCTTTCTTTTTGTGTTCTTATTTTTGTTTTCCTCAGCTTGGTTTGAAAATAGTCCAGAAGATCTGTCTGCTGTTCTTGAACTCAACATCAAACCCTGGCTCAGCAGGAAGGCTGTAGTTCTCAAGGTTTCTTAAGGATGTTTTCCCCTGCTTTTACTGCACAGGTAAAAAAAAAAAAAATACCTAAAACATCAGCCATCGTTGTTTTGAACTGTTATGGTGTAATATGCTATATTAAACATGTTGTGATGTAACAATTGCTATAGCAACCATTCATTTTTTTGTTCAAAAATTGAAATAAATAGTTGACATCATATTTCACAAATGAGATTGGGTGTAATACAGTAAAAGTAATATATTTTGTGGAAACTGAGTAAGACATATAGACTATCTTGGGCAAAGTATCACTTTGAGACCAAGACATGTGAAGTATATTAGCCTCTGTTAAATTGTTATTAAATGCAATATATAATTAAGCTGAAGTAATCTAATTAGGCATCCAACTGACAAGGGTTTCCAGTTGACTGAGGTTTTGCAGTGCCCATTTTGTTCATGCCAGTAAATGTTAACCATCTTTGTGAGCAGCTGACCCTTGACAAGATGCCCCACTAAGAGATCATATCATATACAGTATGGTCTAAAAATAATCCTGACCGCAGAAAGGTCAAGATTTTCCACTGTCTTTCATGTAATACCTTAGGGAGATTTTATTTTTCTGTTTCTCAAGCAAAATTCTATTTGTTGAGCTTCCTCTTCTTTGTTTCTGTTTTCTGAATCTCAAATTACTAATTGCATATGCAGCAAAGCTGAAGGAGATTCAATAGGATGTTTTGTACTTCAGACAGGATTAAACTTCTTCGCTATAGACCAATATTCCCAGAGTCTAATTCTTCACTATTAAGTGGGAACGTTGGTTGGTTATGAATAGAAGAATTTCCTATGAAAATTTAAAATGTACATTTAAAAACTGTTTGGATATGGTGCTTAGGGGTACGAGGTAGCACAGGGCTGTTAGAGTAGTATGATTATGTTGCAGTTGGACTTGATTTTTAAGGTCTTTTCCCAACCTGAGCAATTCTATGGTTGTATGTATATGTACATAAACATTTAAATGCAGACTGTGTAAATGTCCATTCTTGTACATCAAATAAGGCTTTTGCTTCTCTGTGGAAGGCAAGTGAATGAGGCCTGCAGCACTGTAAAGCGGTGTTCTTAAGGCACGATGTTAATAACTGCCTAATTGAATGAAAGGGAAACCTTTATATAAACAGTGATTTTATGGAATTTAAGTATTATGTATAGTTCCCAGATAGGGAACTATATGTAGCATATCAGGTACTAAGTGGGGTGCTGTATTTCCTTAATAAATAGCCTAAGTAAACTGTCTTCCAAATGTGCAATAACTAGAAGGTGATGATTTGATTGGCGACCAAGCACTTGGTAACAGGAACCACTTGGTAACTAAAAGAAAACAGAAAAAACAAATGCTACAACGTTACCTATAGACATGAGAAATAACATCAGGTTTATTGAAACTGTATTTCACAGAGCTATTACAAGCACAAAACTACAGTACATATTAGCTATCTTCTCAGCTGAGTTGCTAATAATGGACTTCATGGCCCTTATCCTGCTCTCAGGACTGTTCTAACAGTTATATAGTGTGCACACGTATGAGGGAAGCTCATCGAAAGCTGGCATCGCTGGCTTTTTTTCTTCCTTTTCTAATGAAATGCCTGAACCTTAAGTTAGACTCAGGTTTCTTCTTGGCTGTACTCCTTCTGGCCCACGATGCAGCATTTCTGGCTGTACTTCAAGAGAAAGGGTGGAGAACAAGTTAACCAAAATACCTCATGGCCTAAGCACTTCCATAACATATGAGAGATATAGGTTCAAGCATTCTCAGCTTGAAGAAAGCACAGAACTCATAATTCCTTGATGAATTACTGGAATATTGTACAAAATAGTGATTACTGGAGCATCCAAGTGCTTGTATGTTATCACATTTAGCTTCAGAGCGTATTAAAGTGGAATTTATATGGCTCTCTGCCTGAGACTGAACTACAGCAGAATGCTATGAAGGGTATAATATACAGAGTTTGCCACTCCAGTACAGCCTCTTTCAATCATACAAGTTGCTTCTGGGCTAAGTGCAGGGATTATATCTATATATGTTAATTTTGTCCCTGTGTGTAGAAACCAATTGATCACAGAAAGTGTGAAAACAACAATTGACTATTGTGACTTCAGGTGTTACCTGGGGAATTTTGCTGTTATTGTTTTGACATTTTCCAAGTAATACAGTAAGAAAGGCTTGAGATTTGGAAAAGTTACATGTGGAAAGGATGACTTTCTCATAATTGATTGTCCTTATGGCCCACATTCTTTCAGGCATATTTTACCCCGTAAAATCTACTGTGTATCATGAGGAAAATAGTTTTGCTCCTACAGCTTAAAAAAATCCCACTGTATTTGTATAAATGCATTCAGTAGAATTTTCAAACTAGTTTTGATCAATACAGGGTTACCCTTGTTTAAACATCAGATCAATTAAAACTAAGGACCTGGTTCTGCCACCTCTACTTAGGAAAACAGTATAGTCTGAGGGCAGCATGCCAGACTGCTGCTATCCCTACCTTTAAATAAAGCACACGTTCAATTGAATCGAGGCCCTCAGAAAGCAAAGAGTGCCGCAAATACTTCTGCATTTGCAACATTTAATTTAGCTGTGTTTCCGTGGTCTTAATGTCCTGAAGCCATAACAGAAATAAAAGACTGCTGGCAGACTCCATTTGAAATATTAGAAGAGTGTCCAAATGCTTACTGTTTATTTACACCAATAAACATAAATAAACCTCTCATGCACCACTTTTACCCAGAGGCTAGAGCACATAGTTTTACAGTAAGGTCATACTTACCCTCATGTTTTGGAAGTATAGTCTCTCTTTTAAGGTTCACAATTTTGTTCCAGCTCTGGATTTATAAATCCATCTACTTTCAAAGAATTCAAAAGCTTCATAAAAATGAAGATTGCTTTAATTCAGATGCAGCATTAAGCCTGATCTAGGGGAAAAAAAAAAAAAAATAAGCCACTTAAGCCACATGTACACACATGCATTTCTTAAGAACATGTCATAGAATCACAGAATTGAGTTGGAAGAGACCCTTAAATGTCATGTCCAACTACAGTGAACAGGGACATGTGGAGCTCAGTCAGATCGCTTAGAATACCATGCAGCTTGAGCAGCTTGTATATGCTGATAGTCTCACTCTACTTGTGGAAATAACCCCCCCCAGGTTTCAGTGACAGCATCTATGTCATAATTTTCTAGTAGCAGAAAGTGTAATTTGAGAGGGCATTACTTGTTATTACAGAGGCTAAAGTAATAGAAGAACTGGCAGACAAATATATCTTATTCTGAACACAGATGAGATATGTAATACCCTTGCACACACTGCTGAGAAGATTAATACTTAAACTGAAAATCAGTATTGACCTCATTCGTATTCAAAAATAATTAGAATATCTATTCAATTCAATTTGAATTTCTTCCTTCTTCATATCTGTCTTCCAGTCCAACACCAGCTTGCAGGAAGAATCATAAGCTTGCTTAAATTATTTCTAGAGCCAGGAATCTGCAGTACTGCAGACAAGGTTTGGCTAAATATCCAAACTTCAGGACATGGAATATATGCAAGAGTCAGATGCTAGCCTACAATATATACCTCCTGCCTTTCTTCAGGCTGCAAGACATATAAAGCCAATTTAAAGAGTAAGTAAGGTAAGTAAGTATAGTAAGGTTAGCTCAGTGCTGTGCCCTTCCATAACAGTGGTGTTCAGATTCAGACAAGTGAATGTTGTTGGAGCGTCACCTCCTCTATTAATTTCTGGCCAAACTAAAAATCTGCGTAGAACATAACAACTGAGATATCTGACCAATTTAATTCTACTGACCTGTCACTCAGCACTAAGAAACCCCTGCTTAATTTGAAGACCTATTCCCACAAAAACACCATATTTGCTAAGCAGAATTCAGTCTGAAAGGGAACCAGTCACTCAAGGAGAAAAAAAAAAATTGACTCAGCAAAATAATCCTCCCATTCCTCAAGTTATTTTAGTAAATAGTTTGTTACAATCTAGAATGTTCTGATCTAAAGCTAACCATTTATAGATCCCATATGAGCCTGACATTCGGGGAGTGTAACCTAATGTTTTGCTTTCTGTTGGTTCATCACCCAACTACTGAACTGAACTTTTCCAAATCTTTCCTATATGATGGCAGAACTGAGCCCAGAGATTATTTGTGCTTTATTTTTCCATAGGCTTCATGGTACATTTGTTAAGTTGTGTCAATTCTATTCCTGTATTTGTGAACTTCACTGGATCTAATGACTAACTAAGCTTTCCATTGCCATCTCTGACCTAGACTGTAGATTGGCAGGACTATGGACTGACTTCTCTGACAAAATCTCTTCACAAAATCTAGCACCATGGAGATCTTAATATATAAGGTTCTAACACAATACAAACATTAGGAGACAATAATATATCACTGGAACTAAATTCAGTCACCCTATAGCACTGTTTGCAGACCCTGCAGAGACCTTGCAATAAGGAGGAATACAGAAGTGCAGAGCGATCTTCGGTTTTCCAGAGATACAGGTTTATCCCTTTCTATTAAATAACCAATAAGGATGAATAAGATGAAAGCCATAAAACATGAATACCTTTTTTTTTTTTAAAAAAAAAAAAAAAAAAAAAACCAGAACAATTGGGAGACATATAGGAAACTGGCTGTTCCTTCATCACCTTATGGCCTTTCCAGTGCCTGACCACTCTCTGAGAGAAATAGTTCTTTCTTATGTCCAACCTAAACCTCCTCTGATATAACTTGCGGCCATTACCCCTTGTCTTGCTCATTGCCTGGGAGAAGAGGCCAAACCCCTCTTCACCACAACCTCCCTTCAGAAGGTTGTAGAGTGCAATGAGGTCTCCCCTGAGCTTCCTCTTCTGCAGACTGAACAATCCCAGTTCCCTCAGCTGCTCCTCATAAGACTTGTGCTCCAGACCCCTCACCAGTTTTGTTACCCTTCTCTGGACACGCTCCAGGACCTCACCATCTTTCCTGTAGTGAGGGGCCCAAAACTGAACACAGTACTCGAGGTGTGGCCTCACCAGTGCTGAGGAG